CGCCGCATAGGAGTCGATGACTGCCGCGATTTGCTGCGACGGAAAGGCCGCCAAAATGGCCGTAATATTGCCTGAGAGGGAACGGGAGTTAACGCAGACGTTCAACAGATAGACTTTCTTAGACACCGCTTACTCGAGTAGTTGTTCATGAGTTTGCGGATCGACTTCTCGACCTGCGCCGGGATTCGGCCGGAAGTCGACGAAATGATGTCTTGCAGTTCGAGGAGCGGAAGTCGCGGATCGCGCAGACACTCCATGAACTGTTCGACGTAGAGATTCATGTTTTGCGAGAAGAAGGGCTCCGGGAGGCCATAACCCGCCAGAATGTTCTCCAAATGCACTTTTGCTGTCGTGAACGTGGCGTTCAGTTTCGTCTCCGAAGGGCTCACGTGGCCGTCGATGGCCGCCATCGCGTCCTCCGAGTGGTCTGCGAGAGAAACGGTGGATGAGAGCGGAAGCGCCAAAAGAGGCCGCAAATGGACTCACATTCGTCGTCGAGAGAGTCGAAGCCAAAAGTGAAAAGTTCCGCGCGATGGACACGCGTCGGGTCGTCGAGTTCGAGTCGCGCCAGAATGGATCCGGCCTCCAGAACAGCGCCCGACCGCTTCACGTGCTGCACGACTCCCGACTCCTGAGTGGTCAGAGTCATGACCATCTTCATGACCTCGATCTCTGCGAACGCCTGACCCGAGTACACGTGTGTTCCGTCCTCCACGAGGAACTGCAGGAGTTTGCCGGTAGAGGGCGAGCGCAGAATCGTGGGGTCGTTCTCTTTGTCGAAAACGCACGTCCGATTGCCAATGGTTACGCGATATCTGTCCACCTCTTCCTTCATATACGTCGTGTGCGACGAGTGGTCGACAGAGAGGAGGAGTCCGGAGTCGGACATGCGGTGCACTTCCACCTCTTTGCACGTGTTGTTCATGACCAGGAAGTAGGAGTTGTTCCCGGATTTGGTGACAGTCACCACGTATTTGACGCCTTCGTATATGAGTTCCACGTTCTGAGTGTTGGACAAAGTGTTCGCCGGAAGGATTTGTCCTCTTTGTAGCGACAGTTGGAAGTGTTGCCAATTGTTCTGCTGCTGAGAGTCGATGACATGAATGCAGCCGCAGATCAGCGCCAAAGAGGTCTTGGGTTTGCCTGAAGAGCAAAACGGCGGTCACTCATTGGTCACCATTTCCTTTGTTCTCTCACCTGATTGGACGCGTTCGGCGATCAGTTTATCGAGCCATCCCGTGTTGATGACATTCTTCTGGAAGTCCTCCGTCTCCAACAAAGTGATCAAATACTCGACAGTCGTCCGGAAGTCGCCTCTAATGGACAGCTCTTTGAGCGCCAGAACGAGATTCTCGCGCGCGTCCTCCCTGTCCTCTCCCCACGAGAAGCAGTGCCCGAACTGCGAGTCCGCGAACTCGTGAAGACCTCCGGAGGCGCCCACCGAGAAGTACCCCCACACGTTCTTACTGCTCCT